CCACTCATGGTGCCCCGTGTGTGTCAGAGCAGAACTGTGATCCACAGGGTTCTCAGTGGATGATTTTTCATAAGTAGATCCCACTGATGGTGCCCCATGAGTGTCAGAGTAGAACTGTGCCCCACAGGGTTCTCAGTGGATGATTTTTCATAAGTAGATTCTACTCATGGTGCCCCGTGTGCGTCAGAGTAGAATTGTGCCCACAGGGTTCTCAGTGAATGCTTTTTCATGAATTCTACTGATGATGCCCTCAGGTGTGTGTCAGAGAACTGTGCTCCAGTGTTTTCAAGGTTGTAATCTTTACATATTACCTGCCCTTTCTCCCACTCAGCCACTGGGTAGGACCAAACTGCCACCATTTAGATCCCTGTCATTTGTAGAAACCTGGAGTTTACTAGGATTCACAATGACCCATGTTGTCCTGAGTTGAAGTGCCCTCTGTTGGGTTTTTGGGTCATCTTTACAGAATCTAAACATCAGGTCCTTCTTTGGTACAGCAGGGTTGGATCAAACCTCCATCGTCTAGGTTTCTGTGCTCTGTGTGGTTTCAGTATAATCGATTCAGACTCATAACACTATGCTGTGCAGACAGGGTATTCTAACACTGTGATTGTATTTTTTAGAACAGATCTGCAGTCCTTTCATCCACAGTCCTGCTGGGGAGATATGAACCTCCCACAGCGACATTAGCAGTTGTGCACAAACTGTATGGGATACCCAGATACCCAGGGCAGAATCCTCCCCTCATCAGGTTCTCTCTCTGTCTGTAGTGGAGAAAACTCAGTCTCTGTGCTGGCCCTGAGCCCACAGACCAAAGCTTTAAAGGACACACACAACCCTGGGAGCCAGCTGACCAAAGCCTCCAACAGGAAGAACATTCTGGTCCACTGGAGGAGGAATTCGTATCTGAGAACCCACACAGAAAACTCACTTGTGTCTAGTTGATTGTGAATCGTAGCAGCACCATTGCAGAGAGTGGAACGGTCCCAGGGCATTTCTGAGGCTGTATATCTTCATGGAAGGAGCACTCAAGATATCAGACAATTTATTAAGACAAATCTGCTGCACAAAGACTCTTTAAAGAATTTTAGCGCAAAGACGTCAATATATGTATTGTTAATACATACAGATATGTATGGAGTCCTGGTGTGCCGCTGTGGGTTAATGTGTCAGACTGCAAAGTCATTTGAACTGCAAGGTTGGCAGTTGAAGCTCACCA